TTTTTTTTTGTTTTTTTTTTTTTTAAAAAACCCACAGAAAGTTTTTGTCTGAATTTTTTTTCTTTTTTTTTTTTTTTTTTTTTTTTTTTTTTTGCCCCCGTCAGTCGGGTGGAGTTGAAGAGGTTGTGTGAAATCTTCACCAGGATGTTTGCAGACCCTCACAGTAAGGTATGAATGCATGTATACACACACACATACACATATATCTCACATCACAAATCTCATTATCCATCCACTTTAATTTTGGTTTCCGTTAACTTTGTTTATCCCACCATCCCTCACTGTACCGGATTCTGCCAAATCCCAAGCAGTGTTGCCGTCTTTCAGTGCGCACGCACACACACACACACACACACACACACACAGACACACTGCAGCAGTCCTACTGCACACCTGTTGCAAATGATTTGGACCAGCAAATGGGATAAACAGGAGAAAAAACGTGTGTGGATACACTCCTCCCAACATGAACACTGGCATGCAGAGTGAGACATGCTCTGTTTTCTAACGGCATGCCCTGCCTGGTTTTTTTTTTTTTTTTTTGCGTGTGACCTGAAACTCTCCGCCGTCCTGTGGGATTGCTCTGTCACCGTTCAGCAGTCAACCAGCTGGCTGCGCTCTTTGCATTCACTTTCACTCACCTTTTTTTGCTCTCGTTTCCCTTCCCAACAACCCTGACTGCATAAAAATGAATTAAAAAAAAAAAAAGAAGAAAAAAAGAAATCACATGGACACACACACACCCCCCAATGTTTGGGCTGCCAGCTCTTCTTCTCTGACTAACCAGCTGTGGTTCGCCCCTTCTAACACTGCCGCCTTTCTTTCGGCGCTGTGACTCCTCCGTTGCCTCACACACCCTGTGTGAGGCGCGCGAGCTTTCCTCCCCTTCTCACTCGTTTGACGTGTGACGATTTGATGAATTTCAGCGAGACTCCGGCAGGGTGTACGGCTCGGCAGAATCCGGTATAAGCTCAGCCTCCTTCAAGGTACCGCATCTCGTCATGGACGCCTCTCCTCCCTTCACCTCTCTGCTCCTACATTTAATTTTTCTACCTGTCATTTCATATGTTTTGTTTCTTTTTGTTTGCTAAAGTGCACACAGCATTTCGTTCGATTTAAAAAAAAAAAAACAAACAAAAATAAAACACTTTGAAGATTTTGAAATCTTTAAAGATGGATCTTAGTTTGAGTAAGAGTTTGGTTAGGATGCTAACAGATGTGTGTTTCTGTCTCCCTTATGCCACCCCCACTCTGGAACTCTCTGTAGAGAGTAAGTTTGGCCAATCGCTGTTACTGTTTTTATCTAACTGAATGGAAATCTGCTTCATTAATCTGATTGGTTGATCAGTAATCGAGGTCGTTAACATCCACTAACCTGCCTGACTATTCGCTGTCCTGCTGAAATCAACTCATAAAGATGGTTACCGCCGGTTACCCCGTAACCTGACTGACTTTTAATTCGTGAAGTAAAAAGCTGATTGTATCTGTTATGTCGTTTCGGGTGATTTTGTTGAATCGGTGATTGGGCGTAAAGATGGTCTGCTGCCACGATGAGTACCTACTAACTCCATAATGGGAACTAATGCTTTTCTTACATCATCCCAGCTCAGAGTAATCCGTGTGCATGCATCTGTGTGTGTGTGTGTGTCTGAGGCTGAACTCCGCAGTGCAGCTGAATCGACCTTAACAATAAGGCGTCAATGGGGGGGGGGTTGTGTGTGTCTAGGTGTTCAGTATGTTCCTGGAGACCCTGGTGGACTTCATCCTGGTCCATAAGGACGACCTCCAGGACTGGTTGTTCATCCTGCTCACGCAGCTGCTGAAGAAGATGGGAGCCGACCTGCTGGGTTCTGTCCAGGCCAAAGTCCAGAAAGCTCTGGACGTCACGCGGTGAGCGCCGAGACATCTCGCCCGCAGCCTGGCATTTTAGGACAAGATCACGCAAAGATTTGGACGCGTTTGCTGTTTTTACAGAAAGACATTTTACCTCCTGCACTTTCAGCACTGAATCATGGATCACAGTCATAATTTCACCACTTTGCAGGTTACTTTAAATTGAAAAGTACGCAAACATATTGTGGAAAAACATCAGAAAAAGACCAAAAATTTTTAGAAATGTTTTATGAATAATTAGGGCTGGGCAATAAATCAGTGCTGTGGCTTAATAAAATGTTTGATTTTCAAAGATTTCATTTTTTGTAATGGATTCCATGAGTTTCCACATTTAAGAGTCTTAGTTTTTCTTTTATTTATTTGGACTTTGAATTCAGATCAACTCTACGATGGAATATTAGGTCCAGAAAAAAGTCCTAATATTATTAGAATAAAGTAATAATTTCATGAGAACTCCAAAATAACACAATTTAAACGAGGAATGTTGAGCATCCTGTGACGTTTTTACTTTTACAAGCAGCATTTAATAGAAGCACTTCATCAGTATCAAATTATTATGAGCAGCAGAAATTTGAAACAATCACGCAAACAATTGCGCACGTTTTAAAGAGCTGATTTTTTTTCTCATTAAAAAAAAAAACTTCCTTTCTCATAATTTTAATGGGTTTCTTCTAGTAAAATTGCACCTTTTTTCTGCTAATATTTTAACTATATTCTTGGAATTGAGCAAATTCTAGCTTCGTGGTCCCGATACTCCGTCATACAACTCACTAGAGGGCTGATTGAAGTAAAAGTCATTTGTTGAAGTTATTTTCTGTCATTTGAAATTTTGAGCAAATGCAAAAATCAGTTAAGTTTAGAAATCAGGTCTGGTATGAAAAACATTAGAGATGCTGTTTTTAAGCCATGTCTCCCAGCTCTATGAATAATCATAACTCTGTCATAAGATTCTTTTTATTTCATATTTCTCTTGGTTTTAATTGCCTGCATGTAGCTCTCGTTTAAGCCAAAACTTCCTGCGATACTATTTGTGGCTGTGATAAAACGGTTGCTTAACTTCTCTGTGGATTAAAGTGCGGCTCTTTGTTTCTCCTCTTCCAGGGAGTCTTTTCCGAACGACCTTCAGTTCACCATCCTCATGAGGTTCACTGTGGACCAGACGCAGACGCCCAGCCTCAAGGTACTGACCGTTTATGACGCCGTGTGTTTGAGTGCTTGAGCGGACGGGAGGCATGCACATGACGCTGCTACAGAACGGCCATGGTCACCGCTTGGATTAACAGAAATCAGTGCCTGCCCATCGCTCTGGCTGTGCGTCCCCAAAACCCCGAATCCTGGACTGTGATTGGACGACGACGCCTTTTGACGCCATCAAGTTTCCATCTCCCTGCTCCAGCCATGTTCTCTCCTTTGTTGCTTTTGCCCCTGTTTCCGCCGCTTCCTGTCTGATCTGCTTCATTTCCTGGACTCCAGGCTTGGGCGTAAAATAATGTAGCCAGTAGAAGAATTTACTTGATGTATTGCAAATCATGTCACTCCAAAGTGATTCCCTTCTGTCTTAAAACGTAGAAAACATGTTGGCATGTAACTGAGGGAGGAATGGTTATTAATTCAGCTGCGAGGAAGTACAAATTATGCAACATATAAAACAGTAAGAAGCTTGTAAATGTTTGGTTTTGTCTGGAAAAGAGGAATTTATTGAAGTTTGAAAGATAATTCAGAATGGAAAGAAAACATTTGTATTTCCAGACAGATGTATCATTCACTAACTTAAATCCATCCGTCCATCCATTCATCCATCCATTAGTTGGTTAATTCATCCATCCATCAGTAGATTTAGAAAGTCTATTTTTCTGTGATTCGAGCATTTTGGGGTTTTCGAAGCAGTAAAGCTAAGTTTTAAAGCAGCCCAAGCCTCTTCCTCCACCTCCATCTCCTCTTGCTCCTCTTCTTTCTCCTCTTCTTTCTCCTCCTCCTCCTGCTCCCGCCATGCTCCTCTCCACCTCCCCCCTCCCCTTTGCCCTCCCCTGTCCTCGTCCCCCTGTCTCCCCGTTGATTGACGCGGTGCTTCTCCTCTCTCTCTCTGAAGCCTGTTCGGAGCTCGTGTTGCGGGCGAGGCAGGGGAGGGTCCGGGGTAAAATTGTTTCCCCCCAGAGCGCGGCGCCACGCTTGCTCTCTAGACGAGCAGGCCGCAGCCTGGAGCCAGTCCTCCCAGGTCAGTGCGCTCCGGGGGGAGCAATTGTATGGCGCGCACTATGCTGCTAAGTGATTTGGAGGCAGTTCTCCCCTTGAGATGCAGATGTAGAGAGGCGTGAGATGAGGGCAGGAATCACTTGTGGAGTCTGCGGTGAATGTTGGCATTTGTTATTTCCTTTATTTTGCCATTTGTCGCAAAGCATGAACATTGACGCCGTTTAGTTTGACGACGATCTCACCGATCCATCAAGACGTTTGATTTTTCCAGGCCTGTAAAGGATCCACTCTGGTTTTACACCCTCACTGTGAACGTTGGTGCTCGTCCTCATGCGCGTTTGTATCGTTTCTGCCGTGTGTATTCAGGTCAGCCTCAGCCGTCCCACGTTGGTGATCTGTGTAAACGTGTGTTTATGGTGCAGGTGAAGGTGGCCATCCTGAAGTACATCGAGACGCTGACGCTGCAGATGGAGGCCCCCGACTTTGTGAACTCCAGCGAGACTCGACTCGCGGTTTCTCGCATCATCACCTGGACAATTGAACCCAAGAGCTCCGATGTCAGAAAGGTACCGGCTCTCACCCCCACCGTGACTCTAAGCTTGACTGCTGCAGTGTCAATGAGCAGACCGAGAACCCGATTAGTTCTGGAAGTACAGCTTTTTGTTTTTGTTTGCCAGAGAAGTTTTAGTTTTTTGCTGGCTTGCAGGTGTGAGTTGTAGCAACAGATTCTTCACACAAAATCCCAACAAGATGCACTAAAGTTTGTGATTGTAACTTGAGGTTATGAATATTTCCTTGGCAGGATCTTCTGCCCGCTCCAATATTTTTTTTTTTTACCTTTTTATTTTTCTAGGAAAATCCCATTGAGATTAAAAACCTCCTTTTCATCAGAGTCCTGACCGAAAAGCATCATATATTACACAACAGTTACTATAGTTTACACAATTAAAGTGCCATGAAAATAATTAAAAACAGTCACAGTTTAACGAAGTTATCTCTGTAGCTTTCGGTCTGGTTTTAAAAAGTGTGCAGTGAAATTAGTGCAGTTAAAATGTCAGACGTAGCAGAGTTTAAAAAAAAAAAAAAGCAACTTTTTCACAATTCTGTGCGGGGAAAAGAAACGGAACAAAAAAAATTATCATTTGAACGCAAAGAATAAAAGTCAACTCTTCTCTGCGTGATCAGATCACAGATGTAGGATGACAAAGCACATATTAAATTAAATGTTTCCGTGAATCATTTTGCGTCTCCGCAGGCGGCCCAGGCGGTTCTGATTGCCCTGTTCCAACTCAACACTCCGGAGTTCACCATGCTGCTGGCAGCTCTTCCCAAAACCTTCCAGGACGGAGCCACCAAGCTGCTCCAGAACCATCTGAAGAACACGGGCAACACGGCCCAGGTGGGTACACTGGAACACAAAGTGCCAAGGCTGCACGAGTTAAAGAGGGAGATGTTTAAACATACTTTGTAAATCATTACAAAATCACGTAACAGCCGCCGACAACTTTGTGTGCTTTTTGTCACGTTTTCAGGCACCAATGGGAAGCCCTATGACGCGCCACACCCCGCGAATGCCAGCCAACTGGTCCAGTCCCGTCACCTCACCTACCAACATCTCACAAAACACCCCGTCACCAAGGTAACGCGTCCTCTGTGACGCAGCGGGGCTCTTTTTTTTTTTTTTTTTTTTTTTTTTTTTTTAATGAAAGGATCAGAAAAGTCGTAGAGCTTTTAATGAGGATTTGCTTCACACCAGTTTGCTCAAAACTAGATTTCTTTTGAAGGTTGGTCGGATAACGGCATGATAAATATGATTTAATTTAACGGCCAAACATTGCGGCTTTATGTACATATTTTATGACATATCTTTTTTTCAGCTTAATGTTTAATGGAAAAAAAAACAACAAAAAAAACTCGCAATTGTAATTTAAAAAAAAAAACAACAGCTTTTTACAGTTTGAATTGTTTGCATTGAAAGGATGTTCGGCTAAACATTCATCTCAAGCACGAAATGAAGTTAAACTAACAAAACTGGAGCTCCACTCGTGCAAAATTTGAAATGCCTCTGTTTATTCGTACCATGTGAGTTTTTTAAAAAAGGGGAGGAAAAAAAAAAAGAACCAAACAAATTTGTGATTTGCAGTGCATTTGACTACGACCCGGAGAACCTGAACTCCGAGGACATCTACAGCTCCCTGAAAGGCGTCACCGAGGCGATCCAGAACTTCAGCGTCCGCAGCCAGGAGGACATGAACGAACCGGTCCAACGGCGGGAAGGAGACGACGTGAGTTTGACATGCAGGCTCTGATGACTGGCGCATGCTTGCAGCCTCTAAGCGTCGCCTAACGGACATGTGTTAAGACATTTCTGCTGTAGATACACGTACAGCTCTGGAAAAAATAAGAGTCCACTGCAGTGGAGAACATTGAAAACCTCCTGGTTTTTCCACCAAATACTGGTTTCTGAACTCTTCCTGAGTTAATTTTTGCTTCGAAATCAATCTGATGGGGCGCCGGAGAGGACCGTTTACATGTCCAAGTAATATATTACCTGAAAACATGTCTCAAAACAACAATATCACAAAAATTACACGGCCAATTTGTCACCCAGCACCATTTATCGTGACGGGTCTAACCGCTGGTTTGTGTGGCATAAACATCTTCAGTGCCAGTCGGGCTAAAATAACCCGGGCTTACCGGGTTAGCATATTGAAGTAGATCATAACTCTGGTGTTCTTTGAAGGCCTGACAGGCAGCCAGCTATGAAAACGGTCTTTTCCTAGATTTATCACACACTCATGTACTGTGTGTGTGTGTGAGAGACTCTGACATGTGATCCCTCTCTCTTCGTGGGAACCGAGAGACGTACAGTCACTGTTTATGGAAAGGGTGACTGTGAAGGTAATCCTCTCCAAACAGTCTTAGCGTGTCAGTTATGGTCTGCCGGCTTTGCCGCCTAAATTCAATAATAATTTGCTATTTTCAGCCGCTCCTCCAGTCAGGGTGCATGCTGAGGGTAAATTTGCGACTCCCGCAGCCCTTCCCCAGGAACACGGGCCCCCTTTTAAGGACACGGTGTTCTCCGGTACAGAGGCGTGACCTCCTGACATTTTCTCCATGACATGCGTCTGAAATCTAACCAGCCCACATTTCATCAGCGCACCTGACTCATCAAACCGGCCCATACATAGAAACCTTTTAATGTTTGTTTGTGTGTGCAAACATACACGCACACAAACGGGGCCAACCCTGCGCTCTTGCTCTTGCTCTGCTTCTCACCTGATGGATCACATGTCGAACTTCGCAAAGTCTCCGAAAATCAATGTGGACGAGAAAAAAAAAATTCCTGGTATTTTCAGGCTAAAGACATAAAAAGACCTGCGCCTTACGCTGCAGCTTTTAAACGTGAACTTGGCTCTGGTGCGAAAACTGTATGCATCAGTGGTTGTAAAAGGTTTTCTACTGTATTTTATCAGATTTGTGACTAGATGGAGACATGCAACGCTGTGGCAACACTCGGAAAGTGATTCATTTCACCGTTTCTGTTCACTGCTGTAAACTGACTCCAGATTTCTTTGAGTCAATAAATAAGGGCGCAGCTGCAACGCCAAGAGTCGATTAACAAACTGATGGCGTACAGAGGTTTTTAAAAAAAAAAAAAAAAAAATTCTGCGTTCAAAACAACAATCAATGTTTTTAATGAGAAGTAAAGTTCTCTCGTTTTTTTTGTTGTTGTTTTTGGCTATGCGGAGCATTTTGTGACACGGTTTGATGCTCTTGAGCCATTTCCATTATTATATACCACACTGCTAAATTATCTTAACATTTTAAGATTACAGTTTGATTGTTATAACAATAACAACTTTTTTTTTTGTTTTTTGTTTTACTTATTTTGAAGCAAATTTGAAAGAAGATGACCAGAGATAAAACCCTACCTTACCCGGTCCTGAAGGGAATGAGTGACTAACCTAATTCCTGCTGGTGCCAAATGTCGTTGAGCTTAAAAACTCTCTACTTCAGGTCAACCTTAAGTCCAAGCTGCCACCTCCACTTTATTAAATTTTACACAAATTATGTCAAACATTTGCTTTTACTTCTGGTTTGTGAAGCCAAGGCTTTCCTGTTTGTGCTGCTGTCATTTTTAAGAAAGTAATAAAAGTTGACAATAAGGTCATCCAAAGGTCAGCCTGGCCCTCCGCATTTAAGTCCAACAAAAGTTGTGTGTAGTTGCGCTACAGCCCAGCTGACATTTGTATCTCTGTATCGTGTCATTTGATATTGGTAATCGATTCTTTTTTTTTTTATTTTATTTTTTTATCTGAAATACTTCCAAACTGTGGGCAGGACCATTCCTGTTTCCTCTCAAGCTGTTGTACTCATTTTTGTTCCATGTCGTTGTTTTTTTAATGATTTTTAAACAGTTGTGGGGGAAACCTTAAACTGCTGCTGTCCAAGTTACTCAAAGGGTTGTTGCTAGGTAACCATAAGTTACTCAACAGGTTGTTGCTTGGCAACCAAAGAACGAGCGAGCGAAAGAGTTGATGCCTCTGACAAACCTTTCTTATCTGGGTGGGAAAAGTGTAGCAGCTAAAGCATTGGCTTTGCCTACATCTCCCAGAATGCTGTGCGGTTCTGGATCAGAGTTTAGTCAAATCATTGAATATATTATCTTTTGGTATTGAGCGATATTTATTGTTGTTGATTTATTGCTCAACCCTCGCTAGAGCTTTGAGTCAGGTTGTGACACTATGTACAAAAACACAAGATGCCTTTATTCCTCCATCTTTGTGTTTTTTTTTTTTTTTGTTTGTTTGACCAGGGGGGAAACGTGTCAGACTTGATGGACGGCGGTCGGATGGCTCTCGACAACAAGACCTCCCTCCTCAACACGCCCCTCCTCACCTCCAGCCCCCGAGTCGGCCACGATCACTTCTACGACTCGCCCCTGAAACAGAGCCGGAAGGACATCAGCCTGGAGGACTCGGGCCAACTCACCGACGGTACGGGAGCCACAAAGCGAGCGCGCACGCTGCGTTGGTCCAAACGACTTCAACTCTGCTTGCTTCCGTTGAAACAGACAGCGGGCTCGATCAGTCGGAGCGAGTGGCCGAGCTCCTCAAGGAGCTGTCCAATCACAACGAGCGCGTAGAGGAAAGGAAGGCGGCGCTGTACGAGCTGCTCAAGCTGATCCGCGAAAACACCCTGCAGGTGTGGGACGAGCACTTCAAGACCATCCTGCTGCTTCTGCTGGAGACGATGGGCGACAGAGAGGTACACACACATGCACACGCACAGAACCTGCGTCGACTCGGTGAAAAAGATCAGAGCTGAATTTCCTCTCTCCTTGAATCTCTTCAGCATGTGATCCGAACGCTGGCTCTGAGGGTGCTGAGGGAGATTCTTGGTAAGCAGCCTTGGAGGTTCAAGAACTATGCAGAGCTCACCATCATGAAGGCCTTGGAGGCTCACAAAGATCCACACAAAGAGGTACCGTCATCCACACCAGGGCTACCCGCAACTGACGATTGTCTTATTAATCGGATAAAAAATTATTATTTTTTTGTTACATCCTGCATGTTTTTCTGTTAACTATTTTAACCCTTTTATACAATATTGGGAATACCTTCAAATATACAACTAAATGAATGATCCAACTCCGTTTTTTTTTTTGTTTTTTTTTTAATTAAAGAAAATCTTTGTATTTCGTAAAATGCAAATAACATTCCTTTTGGCGAATTCTTGATTATTTGTAGCAAAGGATGCATCTGGAGCTATAAAAATACTTCTAAAATCAGCCTGTGAAAAGCTCACCTCTTTCTGATTGACTTCACGTTAATACAACAGCGTTTAATGTTTGGAATAATTGATTAATGACTGGATAGTGAAAAGTGGGTTCATGTTTTTTTTAACTGGTTGAAGCTACAGCTATGCAGCTTCACAAAAATTTCTGTATCTTAAATGTCTCTTGTTTACGAGTGTGTTGTTCTTTCAGCAAATACCCTGGTTTTGAGTCTGTAAACTCCAGCTGACGATTAATCAATTACTAAATTAGTTGACGATTCATCCAATTAATCGTTTCAGCCTTAATCGACCCACAAATTAGCTTCTTCCAAGTAGATAATAATAATGATATTCACAGAACATCACAAGTTAAAGCACCCTGCACTTTCTTTCTTTCTTCCTGAAGGTGGTCCGTGCCGCAGAGGAGACGGCTGCCATGTTGGCGTTGTCCATCAGTCCAGACCAGTGCATCAAGGTGTTGTGTCCAATTATTCAGTCAGCTGATTACCCCATCAACCTGGCTGCTATCAAGATGCAGACGAAGGTGGTGGAGAGAGTTCCCCGAGAGGGCCTGGCCAGCATGCTGCCCGAGATCGTCCCAGGACTCATACAGGTGACTCGCCTCTGGGACGTCAACCGGGTAATCTGGGACGATTTGTTTATTTCGACGGTCACAGGGTAAGCCGTGCGTTTTGTCCAACAGGGTTACGACAACTCTGAAAGCAGTGTGAGGAAAGCCTGTGTGTTTTGCCTGGTGGCCGTCCATGCGGTGATCGGAGACGACCTCAAACCGCACCTCAGCCAACTCTCCAGTAGCAAGGTGAGCGGGTCGCCGGCATTTTAAAATCCGGTTCATGAAAAACCTTGTTTTTTGGGGGGTTTTTATGAACATAAACCGGATGTTGGAAGCTTGTGGCGTTTTCTGAAACCTGAATGACAAATTTATATCAACATAAAGTAGAGATCCTCCATGCGTTTCCTGTGTCCTCTTTGCCGCTTATAACTGCAATTGCACGTCATAATTTAGCTTTGTAGAAGATTTCTGAAAACCATTTCCATTGCATTTAACCATAAAACAGTACTTTAAGTTGATCTATGACTTAAAATCCCAATAAAATGTTAGTTTGTGTTCATATTCTACAAAATATGAAAAAGTTTAAGGAGGACGAACGTTCCTTCAAGACACTATTAATTGGATCATGACTGGAATGCTGTTCATCAGGCAAACTCTGAAAGAATATGGATCTGAGGTACCTGGATAGTTTTATTAAACAGAGAAATAATTACTGGTCAGTTTTTACAGGGAGGGTTTGGAATTATGTAAACATTTTTTTTTAGATCATATGATGTTAAAATGTTATTTCCTAATTGAAAATATTCCTGGAATACAACTTTGATTCTTTTATGCATGTTTGAGAAATCCTTGACTGTCAGGTGGCGACCGTTTAGGGTGGCCTAAACGCTTGATCTCACAAAGCACCACCTATTTCCACAAAGGGCTCCTCAGCTCCTCTAGACTAGCGGCAGCAGCAATTGGCAAACAACTGGTATCTGCTGAGCTTATCACACAAACTGCTGCTCAGTCCCAGCGCTCCTAAGAACGGTTGTTTACGACGTAATGGGGGAGCCATGTTGTGATGACGTGTAGGAAAGAACAGGAGCTTCTTAAAGAGACAGAGGCGCTAAATTGTAAAGTCAAATTTCTTTTTTTAATTTTTTTTATTATATATATATATATATATATATATATCATTTTTATAGTAACTGAAGGTAACATAGTTACTTGATTGTGCTATAAAATGGCACCATGTGCCTGGAAAAACGCGTAATGCCGCCTCTTTAATGCAGAACTTGACAACTTTCTCAGATGGAGCCTGTTTATGTGAGGCTGTCAGAAACCGGTCCAACTCTCTGGCTCATTAGTAGCAGCTGTTTCTTCCCGTCATAAAGCTCATGAAGACGTCACACTTAAACAACGTTGAAGTGACAAGATTTTACTTCAGTTTAGCTCATTATTTAAACAGATGTAAGAAGTAGAAACGATGGTTTTCACCATTGTGTTTTTTTTGTTTTGTTTTTTGTTTTTCTGTTTGCAGCTGAAGCTGTTGAATCTCTACATCAAGCGTGCCCAGTCTGGCTCCACTGGCAGCGAACCTTCAGGCGAGGGTCTATAGAAGTCGCTCAGTCCCAGAGTGTGACTGCAGAACCGCAACTGTCCACAGCAAACAAACAAAAAACATCTGCTCCTCAGATCACACCCACACAGACGGAGACCGACGGGGGCAGACTGCTTACATCCACAACAAGACATGGTGTATACACAAAAAAATAAGTACACAGAGTGCTCATGTTTCCAGCTTCACTGCAAGAGAGAGAGAGAGTGAAGGGGAGACAGAGAGAGAGCATGTCGTGGTTCTCACTGAGCGTCGCCCACCCCGGCCTCAGACTGGACTGAACCCTTAAACCTGGAATAAATAAAAACAGCAGCCGACTTCCGCTCTCATGTTCCACCCAGGTTTCTCACTCACTCACTCCCTTACTCACCCACCCACTCACCCCAGGATGAAGATGTCGCGTGTCCGTCCGTCAGTCCTGTCCAACAACGTCCGCTCTCAGAAACAGCTAAACTTCAGTAGGGAGTGATGCATCTGCATGGTTTCATTTTTCCGGGGCTTTAATATTCATAAAACATTGCGATGAACAAACTGTGCTCTTTCCTGTTTCCTTCTTGGACAGTCAGTAACCGGGTCCAGGTTGCCTGGAATGTAAAACGTACACGGTGTCATAGTTTGGATTATTTTAAGAAATGAGGTTTTACTGCAGTGTTTTTTTTTTTTTTTTGTTGTTTTGTTTTTAATATGTTATATTTTCTCACACACCAAGGGGGGGTTTTTTCCAGAAAGGTGCTGACAAACCTCAGAGGTACGACCCACCCCCCCACAGCGCACTAACACACACCACAGTACCGATAAAATCCAGACCACGGGGCAGGTGGGGGTGGGGGGGAAATGTTTGGCTATGCATGAAACTAAAGATAAAGAAATAACATTTTATTGCGGTCAGGTTTGCAGTCGAGAATAAAACTGGCTGCGGTTTTAAATTAATGTGAACGACGTCCGGCCCCTTTCACATGAACCCCAGATGGTTTTCCATTTCTCCAGGCTCACGTTCGATCGGCCCGCTTCTGAGGAAGATGCTGCTTTACACATGAAGTATGACCGGACATGGCTGTTTATCATATAGCGGACATGTATCTATATATGATATTAAGATTGATTATTCAATAACAGTGTCGGGTAGGAGGAGTTTCCCCCCAGGGGGGGTGCAGGCACGCACCTTCACCCATCCACGTTTTATTTCCTTTTCTCTGTTGCGCGTGCCGTAGTCTTACTGACTCACTGTTTTGTTTTGTTTTTCTCATCCGAGAAGAAATTTGTAGAAATGTATTATTTACAGATCTGGAAAGAAAACGTCCTGTCTTCTTCACTTTTCTCTTTCCTCTCCATTGTCTTTCTTTCCTCTGTCTTATAACATTCTAGTTTTCTTTGTGCATTTACAAAAGCTGTGCTTACAATAAAGTAAAGAACTTGTACAGATCATGATAGATATTCGTGGTTTAACGCCTCATATTTTGTTCGTGTTTTTACACCCCCATTTCCCAGCTTGGTTCAATAATTTCAAGATTTTTTTTTAATGGGTCACTAGTTGAAGTAGAGGGAAAAAAAATATTTAAACTGAGTCTTAATTTACTAAATTTACTTTTATTCCAGCAAACATTACAGTACTCTACATTCTCTTAAAAATACATTTATACATGCAAACAACAAGTTTAACCTTTGGATTGTTTGACATTTAAAGCCACTTTTCAAACCAAGTTATGAGGGAAAAATTACAATTTCATTGCCTGTTTTGTAAAATGCAAGATGTACTTAATTTTAAACTGTTTTTTAAAATACAGATATTATTTTTTTTTCTCTAAATTATTCCCAACAACCAAAGTCTGCAACAGAGATATCCTCTTAATAAAAAAAAAATCATAACAGGGTGGGAAAGCCTTATAAAAAAAAAAAAAAAATATCAAATTAAAGTTAAATCATATTTTCCCGCTTTTAACACACAATGATGAGCTGGATGTTGGACTGTTACACATTTAATGGCCAATTAGCTATTAGTTTGCAAAAATATGAAATGAAAAGAAAAAAAAGGACGACAAAAAAGTTGCTTTTTGAGTGGAATTAATTTATCATGTGACTGCTCAAATGTATATTATTAAATTAAATCACTTTGATTGTGAACAGAATAACCCGCGAGGTTTAAGTGATTATATTTAATAGCGAACAATAACCTGGCTTTAATTTGCTCCTGTGTAGAAAACATAGGAAGCAGCAGATCCTGCTGAAAGCTGTGCAAGGCAGAAAGAAATGTGGACAACATGCAGCCATTAAATATAAAGTAGCCTTGTTCAGGTGTCATGTAAAAGACAACATTTAATCCTCCTGCAATATGGCTATTTGAGTTGCTGGTGCTGAATTTCAGGTATGCATCTGTTAGTTCTCTGGGCTGTATATTTAGGAGCCGCTGAAGAGAAAACCAGACTCGGGTCTGACCCGTAAATCTGCTGGACTCCCAGGGAGCTGCTGCCTAACGGCCAAGTCAGTGAACGCATCCCTCAGAACAATCATTAGGACTTTCCAAAGTATTCCCACCCATTACGGCTTTCACATTTTGTCGGTACGAGCGATTTTCTACATTTTTCTGCAACTCCTCCTGTGTTGCTTTGTTTTAATGATGCCGTTGGTGAACTAATGTTCTTCAAATCTTTCCTCAGAAGGCAATAACACTCCTTTCACTCCACAATTGTGCACAGCTTTGAGTTGGTGCATCATAAAATACATTTAAGCTTGCGGTTGCATAAGAAGTGAAAAAGTTTGCAAAGTAAAACATTTCGAAGACACTGACTGCATCAGCTGGTATATCATTTAACTACAAATTAAGACAGTATTTCCATCTTTATGTACTCGTTGATTTTTTTTAATGTAACGTTTTACCAATCTAAAATATCTGATGCATTCTTTTTGCACCAAGAAATGCTGTCCACATATTCCAGCTTCTTTTTTATGAATCAAACTCAGCAACCTCTTATTCTTTCTTACTAAAGACGTGCTGCATCAGCAAACAAAAGCTTTATTATTGCATTTTTGAACATTTACTTCATAAAGTCTATTTATTTGATTGTTAAAGAAACATTGCTTTATTCCCAATTTTAGGTTTTAGTACAAAAAAGCATTAGATTTCTACAAATGAAGAAATACATTTTCTTCATTGCCTCGTTTATATAGCGTGTTTTACTTCCGTTTTTCTATTTTGTACATAATTTTAGATAAGAAATACTTAAAATAAGTTGAGATGTTTAAGTATTTAAAAAGCATTTTGTAAAACCACTTTAAGACCTTTGAGTTTCATTTTTTTTATGTTTCCCTGTACTATTTTCCATTATGTAACTATTTAAATGTCACTATAATAGTTCTGGCACCTTACATAGATCCTAACACCTGATTGGTAAATCAGCACAGCAGTTTATTTTCAGACCAATCACCTTATTTATAACTGAGTTAGTTAGCACTCTTACTTATATTATCTAATAAATAATTTCCGATGCTTTTAACATCTGATTTTACACCTTCAATTAGTGATGAATGTATACAAATTAAAATATTGATTCATTTATGTTCAATTATCACTTCTTTATTGAATTGAAAGATTTTGGGTCTCGATATAAATCATTAAGCGGGATTTCCAAAGAAGAGACGCTAATTACGGGGTGTGGCGGGTCGAGCCCCTCGGTCCAAAATAGCGCCTGTATCCTGCTTGGAGGGGGGGGAACCTTTACACTCTCCAACACTTGCGACACCGTCAGGCTCCGGCTGATAATCACTAACCAGGCGGAGCGGAGAAAAGCAAACGGAGATAAACTCTAGAAGTCTGTGGCCGAGACGTTGTGTTTTTTCCCCCCCTTCTCCTCTTACTGACATGAAAATGAAGCGCTTCGGTTTCGTTTGGATCCTTGTGGTGCCGGGGGCTGAATCGCGTTGATTTACAGCAGAACTGAATCGCACCGGGGCGACAACAGCTGTTGGGACGTACAAATGTTGTTCTGGCAGTCCTACACCGAAAACTTCCGGGCTCCGGTGCAGAGACACGGCGATGGAGACAGCAGCAGCTGGTACGGAGCTCACCGAGCTGAGTCTGCACTGCTCATATTTTGACAGTTATTACTTTGTAAATATACAGTTTCTCTTGAGAGCTAAACACCGTGGTGCGTGTTAGTCGAGAACGAGCCGACTCAATTGATCGGTTCACTTATGTGAACTATGAGAGTCGGTGTGTATTTTATGCAGTTCCGAACATACCTGTGTATTCTGCTTGAATGCGGCATTAATTCTTGAACAGTTTGGGATTCATTTGATTCGTTTCTTCATTTAAACGATGACAAAAATTATTATTGCATGTTTAAAGGTGACGGAGATAAATCAGAATTCTACTTCTGCATACTTTATGAACTGGTTAGAATCACTGACCCAGTGAATTTCAAGCATGAGCTCTGATGCAAAGACAAAGCAAACACAGACCGATCATTTTTCATGGGGAGAGTGAGTGCAGTGTGTGAGACGGTGGAAATTACACATCAAATGTGAGATACTGTTTTATATATTTGTGTCTGAGAATGACTCATACAAATAATACCAGAACCTGGATTGACTATTTTAAATAGTTCTGTATCAGCAAAACAGCCAACTCTTGTTTACAAAATGAGCCAAATTATTCGGATCTCTTGAAAATATTCGGAATTCCCATTGCTAGTGAAACACAATGACGGAAGCTGGGAAGCCTCTGATTGGCTAATGCTTCTGCAGTGGGCACAGAAGACGGCTTGTGATTGGATGGTTTTCGTTCTGGCATCGTTCCTGAGGCTGGCGGTGGTGACCCAGCAAGAAGCTAGAGTCAGTCTGAACATCGAGGGAGCCATGTTGATACCTGTTTTTGTGTCAAACGGTACATTTTCGATGGTTAAAGGACTACGTCTGAAAGACGGGAAGCCCGAGCGGTGATTTCCCAACCGCTATGAGAAGAGAGGACCTGGCTGGAATGGTACAGAGTGTGCCTGAAGAGCACTGGGTTTAGGTCACTGAGCAGCTGATTCAAAGCAAATGAAGTTGATGCTAGTTAGCTTGATAGCCAGGTAGCAACAGCTGTGCGGACGCTGCGTGGGATGCGGCTTTTGGACTCTTGCTATACAGTTTCTCAGCTTGTTGCATTCTGCTGAACGGACGCTCGCCAGGCTGTTGGGAAACACTCAACGAAGCGTCGACGAGGCTGTTGGGTTAGCTCTGGCTTTATAAAAGATGGCTTTGTAAAGCTAGCTAACGTTAGCATGCTGACAATCAGTCCGCATCTTTCGTCACGACTGTTTGCTAGCTGATGGGGTTCTAACTTATTCTTTCTCTGGGGCAGTTTGCCACTAGTTTGGAGGGAAAACAGCTTCAATAAGCCAAACATAATTATGGTGGTGAATTCAGTCTCCGGGCAAAACTACCTGTTCGCCTTCCCAGCCTGCCGATGAGCAGCTAACGGGCTTAGCAGCAGAACTTTGCTCCGACGGGTGTCTCTCACAAGCTGCAGAGCCCTCTCTCGCTCGCTAGCCGAGCCTTTACCTGAAGCAAGCTGGCGGCCCTCCGGGTAGAAGCCGAGGACAAGGAGCTGGGGTCCATGGCCTGGGTGCTGAAGATGGACGATGCCACCATCGAGTCGGGGCTGGTGCATGACTTCGATGCTAGCCTGTCTGGCATCGGACAGGAGCTCGGGGCTGGAGCTTACAGCATGAGGTTAGAGACGTGCAGGACAAATACACACACACACACACACACACACACACACACACACTGTCTGGATGGTGAAACGTTAAAGATGTCTGGCTGGGCAGGTGGTGGTGTTGTTCCCTGTTGCACTGGGTGTAATGGTTTCTCTTTGTTTTGAGAACTGCAGCACAGCAGTCACTGCGGGGTGCCACGATCGAGGTCAAACATTAGATTACACAAATTCACAAAACCGTAGACGGAAAAAATCCCGTTTCATGTTGTGAAGAGGGGGAGGTAAACACGTCAGATCAGCTGATCCTGTTCCCTCACAAACACAATGGGCTTGTTGCTACAACATATACAGACTTAGTTTCGACTAGGAAGTGCGTGGGGAGACGGTAGTAGCTTTGTTTCTGATGGTATGTGGAATGCAAAGGGTTTTCTCTGGGTCTGAGCCAGCGGCCTCACTCTGTTTAAATGTGTCTGGGCTTACATGTGACAGCATGGAACATGCTGTGCACAACTTTGTGTAAATAAGGGAGGTGCTTATTGTGAACTTTACCTATTTATCGATCTGTGGAGTAATGATTAATATTTGGAGGGAGGAAGAGGTTGTGCCTTCTTTTGTAATGTTTAGCCATTGTGGTTCAGAATAAGAATATCAGTATTTCTTGAGAATAAACAAAAAACTGTTAGACGGACATTAATATTTAGTCCAGAAACTTGATTCAGAAAACATTGGAAGCAAAATGAATAATTTTATATAGTTTGCAGAAAATTAAGCTGCTAAATTTTCACAGTAATTCATGAATATACCAGATGCACGGCTCGTTTATATAAATAATTAACTTTTTTTGATGTGCATACGTTTTGCACACACTTTACAAAATGGCATAGATTTGAAATGAATACCTAACTGATGTGACAAACCAGAATTACAGGATATCGTCGGGTTCGCTGAGTTGATCTTCTCTTAGCCATTGCTACAAAAACTTTTCTTTTCTGATTGTTTTATGTTAAAAATAAAGCAACATTTTGCCAACGATCTCCAGCTGTTCATCAAACTTTTCCATTTCTTCCACTTTTCCGATTGTTTTTAAAACAGCCACTCTGTTACTTCACAGTGCCAGCTATAAAATGTTTTATTAGCATTCTGCTAATGCCATTAGCTTAGCAAACAGTAGCTTTAATAACAGCTGCCTTAATACACTGTAGCATCTCCAGTTGTTGAGTCACTGTCCTGCCACGTTTAGATGCATCTCTGCTCCAGCGGCTGATTTTCCTCTTCAGTAGGCAGCAAGTTCTGCAGAAGCCCTGTAATGATCCATTCATCTGATTTATGTGTGATGGAGCAGAGATTTATCTGAGTTGCAGGATAGTAGCTGTCGAAAGGTGCAGAACTCTGATGCTTTACTTTCTCTGTATTTTCTTTTTTGTTCTTGTTGTTCTCAACCACAAATACTTATAGGCAAATTTAGAGGGGGAGAGAGAGGGGTAATAATTTTTGTATCCTTCTTTCAGCCAGCTCAAGATGGAGGGAAATCGCTACTTGCTTATTACGATCAAATCACAAACTAAAGTCCCTCTGGCTGCAGCATCATCACACAGACTTTGGTCACTTTGTTGAAATCCTGGTTAATTTCTACAGCCTGGTGTTTGTCTTCTTAGTGTCGACCTGAAATGATTAACACGTGGGTGCTGGACTGAATCCTGGCTGCGTAAACATTGTAAATGTGGCAAAGTCAGCATTTCCAGTCAATCTGTGTACAATCCATAAATGTTTCCCATGTTTGTTTGTTTTTTTTTTTTTTTTAATTTTCTAAACTCTCCAGAAGTTGCAAGTGGTATTGCGGTGAAGCACCTGTTCCCTTACTGGGTTTTCACTATGCTGTGTTTTGCTCACTGGGAGCTGTTGATATTTCTGCGTTCAGGGGGCAAGACCTCCAGGGATGAGCGTGTGTTTATCAGACGCCCCTCTCCTCCTCCTCCTCCTGCCTGTTTATCTGTGTGTGACGTAGGTGTGTGTGCCAGTCGCCCATGAGGGCAAGCGAGTTCACCAGTGCTGAATTCATGGCATGCACCTAAGTGAATTAGTGAAAATAGAGAGTGTGCTATCTGTGATACCCGGGATGGGTTTGAAGTCAGCAGCTGGTGGGAACAAAATGTTTCAGTGGAAGACACTCTTCAGGTTTCAGGTGGCCAGAATAGGTCAAAGGACGGCGGTTTGGACGGCTCAGTAGGGTTACAATAGGACAGTCTGCTGTATATTTACACCAAGGAAACCGAGAGAAAGTTTAGGCATTCCTGCTTCGCTCATGACTCTGCGAAATATTCCTATAAATGGAATGCTTTTCAGTGATGGAGTTAATTTTTCAGTATTTTTCCACTCGCACATGCTCGATTCAGCCAACATTAGTGTTTGTCGGGGTTAACTGAGGACAGGTCGACTGTCTGGATTAACACGTGTGAGAAATGACACATGTCAGCATCTTGAGCGGTGTCTGGGTGTTTCTAATCATGCGTCGTGCTGAAGCCTCATGCATCTATAATAAGAGACCAGTTTGATCAATGAAGCGCCTTTATCGCCCCTAAAACAGGCAGATTTGTTTAATAACTTAATCTGGAAGTTTTAAGTGTGACAAATGTATTTGAGATAAGAACCAAGAGAATCCAGTTTTGACAAATGGAGGCAGAAATAATTTACGCTTTTCAAATATTATGGCGCTTATGAGGCAATAAAGTTAAACACTAGAGATGAGATTAAAAATAAAAAATAAACTCTGCATCATTAAGACTTGAGTTAAGCTTTATATTGGATATTATTAAGCTGTGCTTCAGCTCTTCAGATGTCATTTTGTTTTTTGGTCTTTTCTGCGTCCTGCCGCCTCCCTGACTCGTCCGTCTCTGTCTTTCAGCGATGTGCTGGCTCTGCCCATCTTTAAGCAGGAGGACTCCAACCTTCCACCTGAAGGCAAGACCAAAAATCCCCCATTCCAGTATGTGCTGTGCGCCGCCACCTCGCCTGCTGTCAAGCTGCACGACGAGACGCTCACATACCTAAACCAAGGTAACGGGATATTTAATTCACTGAAACTACTTAAACTCCAAGCAGCGTCGCTCAATTTTAAGAAAACATGCAACTGTGATAAACTTTTGAATATCAAGACGGCTACCTTGATAGGAATTACACCCAATTTTCCTTTTGCTTTCTGTTCTTCCATCGTAATGTTTCTTAGACTCTTTTGAGTTTAACAAACTCTAGAAGATTTGTGCATGATGCTCGAAATGTAAAAACCTACCTCACTGTTAGTTGGTGCTACCAGTATGATTGCAGCTCAGAATATTGTGCAACTTTAGCTACACAGACTTTTTAATATCTGTAAATTTTACGCCCATCGCCTGTAGTTTCCACATGCAAAATTCAGCACTTGAATTAATTCCGACAGAGGAGAAAACTGTTTTTGTAAAATGGAGAGTTTTGGATATTTAGCACAAACGGTCGCATATAAAAATTGATGCACTGGATAATAAATTGGGCAGCACTGTAGCCTTGCATCAAGGAGGTGCTAGGATCAACTTCTAGCCTGGGAGTTTTTATGGTTCTCCTCATGCATTAGTGGATTCTCTCCAGGTACTCTGGCTTTCTCCCACAGTTTAAAAACATGACTGTAGGGTTGAATGATTACTCTTAAGTTAGTGATTTTCACTTCTGGTCCTCAGGAGCTCCGTCCTTCATGTTTTAGATGTTTCTCTGCTTTAGCACCAGAAGTCTGTTAAGAGCTACTTGGTTATAAATAAAGTATCTATCCACCCACCCGAATCAGGTGTGTGGAGGGAAGGATACGCCCCAAACATTCAGGATGTCTGACTAGCTTCATCCTAATGTATTGTTACATTTGATAAACAGATCGTAATGGTGACTTGCTGTAATAAATGTCAGCTAAATGTTTAAGCACTGCGCAAACTCTCGTTGTCTGTAGTACATTCGGTGACATTTGTTGTTTTCAAAGGTAGAGAAGTTGTAAGTCTGCATGTTGCAGGTGATTCATTATGACTGACGCATCATGACGCTCGGGTATTAAACGCTTTCAAGTGTTTAAGGGAAATTAAGATGAACTTTATATTTATTGCAAGAAATCCTTTTGCATTCAATATGCATTTTATGAGAACTCTTTTTTTTTTTTTAATTTGTCTTTGGGTTGTTTTGTTAAGAAACAAAAACTTCTAACTTGACCAGAATCAGGAGCTAAATGTATTTATTTTTTGGCCAGTTTATTGTTTTTGTAATATAGACTGATAACACAAACAACATGTGTCACATACAGAAAAAACAAACTGCATGTAGCTTCATAATCACTTCATCAGGGTGTTTTTTATATGATGAATAATGTAAACAGCGGATTTAATGGCAGCCATTATTCCTAGGAATGCAGGAAGCAGTTTTATCTGAAATGTAAAGTGCGGCGTTTGTTTGTAAATTCAACCATGTAAGTTTTTTTTCATGTTGCATTTCCTGTGTTGCATCTTTTCCATCTCACTGTTAAACCTGAGTGGTTTCTTCATTTTATTATTGTCATAATTAAAAGCGTTGCAGCTGATTGGTGGATCAATTGGCTGCAACTGATTGATCCATTATGAAGTGTTTTTATCCCTGCTGGGAACTGCATGGAAGAAATTTACATATTTGGTATAAGATTGTTAAAAAACCAGGATTATTGCAAAACCAGGATGTTATTTTATTTATTTATTTTATCTTTGCATTGGGTACTTCATCCGGTTTCTCTCCTTTCTCCCGTTCAGGCCAGTCTTATGAGATCCGTATGTTGGACAACAGGAAAGCAGGGGAGTTACCAGAGCTCAACAACAAGATGGTGAAGGTGAGGGAACCGCTGCAGCTAGAGGAGAAACATCTGCTTCTTGCATCTTGTGCTCCTCATATCTAACATGCATGTGTGTGTAGAGCACAGTACGGGTAGTGTTTCATGACCGGCGGCTGCAGTACACAGAGCACCAGCAGCTGGAGGGCTGGAAGTGGAATCGTCCTGGGGACCGTCTCCTTGACATCGGTAAAGAAGCCTGCAGAGAAATGTTTACTCTCTACTGTCCCGTGCGTGTGTGATACGCAGCTCAAATATCTCTGTCTGAAACAGATATTCCCATGTCAGTGGGCATTGTTGAGCCCAAGACTCACCCCTCCCAGCTCAACGCTGCAGAGTTTCTGTGGGACATGAACAAAAGAACGTCTGTTTTCGTTCAGGTAAAAAAAAAAAAAAAAAAAAAAAAAAAATTCCCCCAATTTCTCAAACCACACTCGCTCTCCTTTCGCCTGCTGCCACCTGAGTTTCCACATCAAACGGCGTCTCTTGATCACATCGCCTTGGTCGTGTCTGCAGGTGCACTGCATCAGCACGGAGTTCACCCCCAGGAAGCATGGCGGAGAGAAGGGCGTCCCGTTCAGGATCCAGATCGACACGTTCACCCAGGGAGACGGTGGAGAGTACATGGAGCACCTCCACTCCGCTTCCTGTCAGATTAAAGTTTTTAAGGTACGCACTTTGTCTCTTCCTGGTAAAATGACACATTTTTTTTATTTTTTATATATATATCAATGTTTCTCCTTGTCTTCTCCCCGTTCAGCCAAAGGGGGCGGACCGTAAGCAGAAGACTGACAGGGAGAAAATGGAGAAGCGCACCCCTCAGGAGAAGGAGAAGTACCAACCCTCCTATGATACCACTATCCTTTCAGAGGTTAGAATGATTCCCCTTAAAGGCTTATTTTTGCTTTTGCACAAAGGAAATGTCGTTTTACAACACAGTTTAAGGATGGCACCAGAGTTTTTTCCACTGCATTAACTCCAGCAGAGTCGCTGCTAGCAATAATTCGAAGCAATTACGTGTTAATGGGCAGAGTTGCCATTCGTTTTGTTCTGTCCTTTTGAGAGCCTGGATTTTTACTCCAGAGTCACTGAGGATTCATATGGTTGCATCACCGTTTGTCTCTGGTAACAAAGGTGTCGTTAAAACCTCTTTGGTAAAAACTCCAGGGAGGAAACGCAAAGCGAAGCGATGTTATCTTTATACAGAGCTTTCACTTCCACCCTTCCTGATTGATATTTTATTAATAATCCACCCGACTAACAAATTGAAGCACAGTTTGATTCTTAAGCTTATTAATTATCTTGGCTCACATGCTTAATCCAGTTGCATTGGATTAGGAGAACTGGCTTCTTAAAATGGTAGATTAGAACAAACCTTTAAAGTTGCTGTGGTTCGTGACAATAACTCCCATCTTGAGCGTAAAGCTTCAATCCACTAGAGATACTTCAAAGATTAACACTGCAGTTTTTCCTGAGCAGCGGGGTCAGTGGCCTCTTCTTGTATATAATGTTTAGGCTGCTGCTATAGTTGCGAAAACCACTTCCTGCTGCTAAAAGAAAGCAGTGTGTTATTTGCACTTGGAGACAGTTTGCAATGACACAAAACCGTCTTTCTGAAGTAAAGCTGTGGTGCACCGCCTCTGGTTATTCACAACTTTTACTATAGAAACAACAGCCTGAGTTATAAACCTACGCAAACACAAACACACTGGGGGACTAAGGACAACCTCAATAAAAAAAGATTTACCCATAAATCTTAGCAGTTACCTGCTTCAGGTTCAAATAAACAACCTAGTTGCATCGCAGAGCAAGCGGTGAGCTGAGCATCAATTCTGCAGATCGCTGCGATTATTTTCTACAAATTATCTTAATAATGTAGCTTCACAGATGTGATATGAGAAGAAGAAATCACACGATTTAACAGAGTCCAACATCAGTGTAGAAATATTTAATATTTTACACCGATATTTCTAAAACGGCAAACTGCTGAGTTGAGACGGACTCGTGTGATTGGCTCCCAAAGTTTTGCAGTACAGATTCGTCGGACAGAAACACGACGACTTGTTGTTTGTATTTGACGTGTTGTTTTTTACTTTTTTTGTAAGAAATTGATGCGCATGTTTCAGACAAGAACTAAAAATGTAATTACACACCATCAGCAACAAGTTGAGTCTGTAGAGAAGTAAAACCTTCAAAGCACAATTGTAGTATTACCAATCTGGACAAGAATGGAGGTTAAAATGTATCAAAAATATTTGTATTTTCACTCTATTCCCTGTCCCATAAATGATTTCTTTCCTTCCTCATGCCTTTGTCCTGTGTCTTCTTCTTTGCTTTCCTTCTTTCCCTTCTTTTTTTGTCATCTTGTCTTTCTTTTTCCTTCCATTTTCCCCTCTTTGCACCGCCTTCCTTCCTAATATCTTCTTATACCTTGTAAACGTCCTCCTTTCTCTTCAGTCTCCTTTCTCGCTTGTCCTTTGTTTCTCACTTGCTTGTATCCTAGTTTCCTTCCTTTCTTGTCATCCCTTCAGTCCTTCCTCTCTTTGTTTCTTCTTCTTCCTCGCTTCTTTCCTTTCTTGCTTGTCCTTCCTTCCAGAAACGTTTCTTTCCATTTTAAACTGGACGAAAAGAACTGACAACTCTGAAGAAAAGTCTGGAGTTTTTACATGAATTATGTGTAGGAAACCTGACAATATAGATCCAACAAATCCTTTAGGGTTTTTTTGGACTTTTCTTTTGGTACTGAGTGAGAAGTCCCCGATCTGTGTGTGTGTGTTGGTGTGAGTCACAGGCCAGCTAACCTCTGCTGTGTGTCTGAATGCAGACGAGGCTTGAACCCATCATAGAAGATTCGGGTGACCATGAGCTGAAAAAGTCCAGCAAGCGGACACTTCCCGCTGACTGTGGCGACTCCTTGGCCAAGAGAGGCAGTGTAAGCACCCTGCTGTCCTCTCCCGCTCCTTCCTGGTCCTGCCGTCTATTCTCCGTCTCCATTTCAAACCAGTAAACATTCAACTGGTGTGATTGGGATAGTGCAATGCTACATGTTTGTAATTTGGAGGAGTGGCGCAAAGCTAAATTCCCAGTGTATACTTACTTTTCCACACACTTTTCTTAGGCGTATTTAAAGTTTCATTTATTTTATTATCGGTGTGTAATCACTGCAGCATTTATATACGTCTGTGTCTCTGCCCAGTGCTCCCCGTGGCCAGACGCCGCCTACACCAGCACCAGCCAGGCAGCTACCCCCTCCTTCACCTCCACCCCACTTTCCACCTACACAACCTCCTCGGTGCTGGACAGGTACTTCAGTTTATTGTTTAGCGAATTCATTCATTTTCATGGTCACATTGAAAAGTCATTCATGTTGATCTTTAAATTTTTTTTTTTTGTTTGTTTTTTGTTTTCCAGTGACTCATCCTCACCCAATCACCAAGCAGATCCTGGTGGCCATGGCAACTCGGAGGTTAGTATCTAGTTGTTTCTGCTCCTGGCTGATTTGGTCACAATTAGGCCTGAAGCTAACCATTATTTTCGTAATCGATTATTCTATTGATTATTGTGACAATTAATGTGACATTATAGAAATTTTTCATTTAACCATTTAAAACTTTTTATATGATATTAGAAATGCACTAAAAGATGCAAATAAACAAATCAATTCCTTTTTTAAATGAGAAACTTTACATTTTTTGGCTTAGAATACAGTAACAATGGATGCCTTTAGTGAATGTTTGTAGATTTATTTTACAGAATCTGAACCAGGTGAAGGCAAAACTATCCCACTTAAGGAGTTCAGGGTAAAACATATTTATACACAAATGTTCTTAATGTTAAATGCTACATTTTTTGTACAGCTTTGACTTAATATTTGCTCTGAGTTTGTTGGGGGTTTTTAAGTAAATGGCCTTTTTGAGTTGTTATACTCCAGTTAATAATCGATTTCTAATTTAGTTGACAGTTATTTCAGTAATTGATTAATCACAGTTAATTGGATTAATCATTCCAGCCCTAGTCACATTTAATCAGACATCTTTAATCATCAGTGTTCATATATCTGTACACAAACACATTAAATTGTCAGGTGAAAAGAAAATATCTGCACATTTATGGCTGTTTCTGTAAAAACACAGATGCATTCAGATTCAAATTATGTCACCGCTTTGACATTAATCGAGTTCAGATTGAACAAGGTTTCATTTTTGTGGAGACGTTTAATAAAATGTTGATGCACTTAATTTGAGTCTTGAAAAACGATTTAAACTCCTCGAACTTTTTCACCTGTTTTCATGTTGCGATTAATTTTTGTGACGATGCAACACAAATCAGGGCTGGACAATAAATCAATAACGATACATGTCGCAATAGACATGTAGATGCATCGATTGTGCAGCAGCAGTTTGAGGTTTCGCCATTGTGCCTCATAAATGCTTAAAAACATAAAAACTACAGCTAGGCGTGAAAACTGGATGAAACGGGAAGCGTCATACTACCAGTTTGATAGTATTTCAGATATTTAAAACAAAAACTAATCAACAATTATTGGCATTTTCTGATAAGAAAGGCTTACGTTATGATATGTGCTTGTTCAGCCCAAACACAAAGTATGGTATAATCATAAAGTGAGACGAATATAAAGCTATTTTTTTATTATTCCCAAATAAAAAACCTGAAAAGTGTGGCATGCATGTGTATCCAGCCTAATAGGTCACACCTTTGTGGAGCCAGCTTTTGCTTCAATTGCATCATCTCATGTTTGGTCTCATCTCAACTCGCTGTGAGCTACATGGAAGTGGTCCGATTATTATCGCTTCATTTAGTCAAATACTGATTAGTACATCTGGCATTATGGTTGCTAACAGAAAGTTGAACTCGGTGTTGTTGCGACTGAAGTCTTTCTGTCTCGTCTGTGCAGCAGCTGAGCCCCACTGCCTCCATACAGGACGCTCAGAAGTGGCTGTTGAAGAACCGCTTCAGCTCCTACACTAGACTCTTCTCTCATTTCTCAGGTGTGTACACGTTTTTTGTTGTTTTTTTTAAGGTTTTATTGGCTCTAGTGGCCTTTATTTGATGGTGAATTGACAGGAAAGTGGGTAACGAACTAAAAAGAGACGGTGTTGTGCTGGAAAAGTTTGAAAACATACCTTCAAATTGTTAAAGTTCTTGAATTTCACTTTAAGAGTGTACAAATTATTTGTGCTTCCACTTAAAGGATCCAGAATAAAAGTCTTATAAGCTTTATTACTGTAATCAGATGCCCTGCTGTGTAAACATTAGGACCATGAGAACGACTAAAGCAAAACTCTTACTCTGTCCTGTCGCAGGTTCTGATTTATTGAAGTTAACCCGGGACGACCTGGTGCAGATTTGTGGGCCGGCTGATGGGATCAGACTCTTCAATGCTCTCAAATCCAGGTGAGAAAAGTGTCTGGTGTAAGAAGAAAAAGCGCTGAAAGTGAGCCCGTCTTCGTGGCCGTGTGGGTAAACTGTCCCCTCTCGTTGCAGGTCAGTGCGTCCCAGATTGACAGTGTACGTCTGTCAGGAGTCTCCTCAAGGGAGCCCCCTGCTGGAGAGGCACTGCACAATAGAAAATGGAGAACACCGGAGCTCTGCTAGTTTACACGGTGAACAAAATGTTTCTCGACACTAATGGAGTACTGAAGCGTGTTTGCACAAGTCTTTAACGCCGTCGCCTGTCTGTGTCCCTTCAGTATACCACGCTCTGTATTTGGAGGAGCTCACAGCTGCAGAACTCATCCGTAAGATTGCATCTGTGTGCGACATTCCATTGGGAAGGATCCACCAGGTGTACAGGCAGGGTCCGACAGGCATACACATCCTACTAAGCGACCAGGTATTGGCATGCACACACCACTCCACTCCCTTTTTTTTTTTTTTTTTAACCGCATCATCATCTAAAAACAGACAATTTAACTGTAGTGGGAAAACTACATCTGTTCCACTGATCAAGTTTTGAACTATTTTTGCAAAAATATTCATATCTTTTGCTCACAAATGAGAAAATGATGCAATTTTTTTTGTAATCAGTGTTTCCCATTAAAAATATGAAAAATTGTCCCTTGTATGCCAATAGCTCCATCATGAAAACCTATCGAGATTCACCTGAAATCACTGAGTCAGGAGAATCTGTTGTTTGGAAATCTGTTACGCTGCATTTTATCCGTCTTTTAATTTGCAACAAGAATATGCTCAACTCGGGTGCAACATCATTCCCAGCCTCAAAATACTCATCTATCCCTCTAATCTGTTTTTGTGGCCCATGTAAAGAGCAGTTGGTGCAGTTCCACTTATAATCTCCATCGTTGGCACAATCTCCTTATCAACTCAACTATTTAAAAAGAATGTTTTTAAAAATGTACCTTAAGCTTTCTACCAACAGGAATTGTTTTACCAGCTTGGAAGTCTGAAAAGGCAAACCAGTCTGTAGTGATGATTGCAAAGGGTAAACGTAAAGGAGACGCCAGAATAACATGTTGGGACACAAAACTGAAAGTGATTTTATTAAAAAAAAAAAAAAAAAACAGGAAATGCTGTTACTCAGAGAAAGACAGTTTTTGCCTGAATGCTCCACTTCGCCTGTAAACTAAAACAGCTGAAGGATTATTTTAGGATGAGGATTACAGATTAATTAAAATTAAGATATAAACTTAAATGACATACTTTTAAGCATGCAAACTGTTAAACATTTCACAAATGACAGATTTTCGTCTAGGTTCATCTTGTGCCGATTTGAATCTGCAAGCTGAGGAGAGAAATAAACCACAAACCTCTCTAATTTGAATCTTATTTATACTCTACTGTTTTTTGCATTACTAGATTGACTGATGTTACTTCAACAACACCAGGAAATCATATTTTGAGAATATTGGCAGACATATCGAACAAAACTCAACATTTATCCTCATTTGTTCTCTTAGATGGTTTACAACTTGTCTGACGAGAGCTGTTTTTTGATCAGCACTGTCAAAGGTAAGCACACGATTCCAAAACGAGGGAGGAGCTGGTAATTATCCATATTCTCCGTATTTTAGGATTTACTCTCCCTTTCCTCTCTTCTGTTCTCTTTCCAGATGAGTTGGGCGAAGGACTTCATCTAATCTTGAAGTAGTGAAGAGCACAGATGGCGTCACTAATACTCCATCCTCTGCTTTGGAGCAGAAGCCTCCTTCTGTCGCTCTGCATCCTCCCCGTCTCTCTTTAGCGATCGCTCGATGGAAAGCAGAGTGACTGCGCCGAAGCCATGTAAATGTTAGAATCTGACATGGGTGTGTCCACTGTTTCATATTGAAAACATTATTAAGATGAAGGTTAGGAGAAGAGATCGGGGAGGATTTGAGATCAGGGGGTAGTTAACATTGTTCAATGTATTTTGATTTAATTTTTTTTGTCTTTTTATAAATATATATAAGACAAAAAGTTTCTGTGTGGAGGTGGGAGGGTGGAGGCTCCAAGGGAGAGGGGTGGATGGTGCTCTGGCATGCAAGAGACGGGAAGAAAAAGTCACCTTATTGCTTGTTGCCCTTCCTAAACAACCAGCGTTAGGCCAGTATTTGATGAAACTGTACTGCTGAACAGCATGCAATCCATACCAAGTTGCTTGAACGACAAACTCCGCTTACTCTGCTTACTTAACATTCTTCGACGGGGATGTCTTAATTAACTTTCTCTAATTGGCTGAGCAAATATTCAGGGTAAATGAGTGGAAATGCTCTCATTTTTGGCTTTTTTTTTTTTTTTTTGCTATTTTAAAATGACGTCATCAGTTCTTATCACATTGTCTCACTATGTGATTTAAACTTACAGCCATATCTCTGTCGACATTGCGTCTCGCTCAGCTAACGTGTGTCCAGTATGGCCTGTGCTTTTACAGTTTTTTTTTTTTTTTTTTTTTTTTTTTGTTGCCTATTTTTGAGTCGGCTCTTTCTGTTCCTCTTAATGAATTTACTCTTTCTGGTGCCATAACAGCTCATTAGCTTGGCTTTTATTTTTATTTTTTTTTAAATTCAAGTGTATACATGGAGTACATACGCATCATTATTTGACTTCTCTGCTTTATTAAAACACTGGTTTACAGAATTATGGCGAGAAGACTTTGGGAATTAGTTGATAAAACCCCTCGACGATGCTATCCAGTGGAGCATTAGTGCCTATTTAAACGAAACCTACTTTATAGTGGACCAAACGGGAAACTGACTGACTGACAGGTGTAATCTGAGAGGGAATAAACTGCAGCCGGTCTTGAATTTGTGCAAATTTAAAGCACTAAAGCTGGTTTAAAAGTTGGGGGAGGGTGGACTTAAAACAGCAAATTTTGTACCGGGTGCCGAAGCCTTGATTCCAGATCCATTTTTACTGTAAACATTATGCAGCAGGTGAGGCATACGGTTGCATCTCAATAAATTAGAAATTGTCAAATTGTTTTACGTAACTTAATTGAAAAGATGAAACTCAACTAGATCATTACACACACAGTGATTTGTATCAAGTTTGTTTGTTTTGATGACTCATGGAAACCAAAACTGTCCAAAAACTGGCTTATTACACAAGATTAAAAAGGTTTTATTTTTTTATTACCATTAAGAATCAGGTTGTAGAAGGTGCTAATTTGATGGTTATGTAGCAGAAAGTTATTAACAACTTCAAGGAATCTGTTCAAAGGGCTGTGTCCAGGTATATTAATGGAAAGTTTAGTGGAAGGAGGGAAAAAAAAGGTTGTGGTGGGGTTAAGGTCAAGTGAGTTTGCCCCAAATGATCAGACTGAAAACTTCCCAAAGAATCTCAAGCAACTTGGTGTATGTGCCTCTCCACTCTTCCTTAAGACCCCTTGGGATCATTTTGGGACCTTTTTTTTATTAAATGCTAAATTTAGTTTTCAATATGGACGGAGGACATTGGACCATTGAGCAACACTCCTGTTTCTGCCATTGTCTCTAGCTTTCGAGTGGCTTAACACGAGGAATTGGACCGTTGTGCTTCATATCCTGAGTACATCTGTGTGGTGTGAGCTTGTACCATATTTTTTCTTTCCACCCAACTTTCCATTAATACAGTCGGATACAGCAGTCTGACAGCCGGCTTCTTTACCAGTGACCTGCTGAGGGTCTCAAAGAGATGGTTGTGTGGACCATAAAATGGCCATAGCATTACACTTCTGCATTAAAGTTTTATTATTATTATTATTATTATTTGGTCTTTTATTGTATTATAATGTTGAGGATTTGAATTCTGTGGTTTGGTTAGCCCATCAAAATTAACAGCAATAAATGCTTTAAAGACCTCCCTCTGTATAATGAATTTGTTTCACTTTTTGAATTCAATTAGTAATTAATGAGGTTTTCCATGATCTTCTATTGGGATGCTCCTGTATGCAGTGGTAATGCATCAAAATGCCACGTCATTCTTGGGAACTTTGAGTCGTAGCCTAGCACAGAACGTACAGGTCGCGTTCTGAGTGGCCTTATCAAAAAGCGAAAGGAAACCTCACCACGCTTGAGGCCTCTGCTTTGGTTCAAGTTGGTCTGTTTTGGCATTTTCGAAGAGGTTTACATTGTCAAGGTGTCAGAATTTGTGTGCATGTGTATCATTTTGTTCATTATGTCCAATGTTTGTTTGTTTTTTTCTGCTGGTAAAAGAAGTCGTGTTTAGCTTGCTACTTAGTAAAGAGCATGTGGATATCTGGGAGACAGATAAATTTGTCAGTGAGTGTATCCCCCGAAACTTTTCTCCCCCCCCTGTTACTTTTTCCATACGTTAGAGACCAAGCCTGCACTGAAGAAATTCACAAACTTCTAGTTCGATGTGTAGTCATTAGTCCTACACCCTCAACATCCTTTTCTTACTAGATCAGAAGGAGTTCGACAAATAAAACTCTCAAGGCTATGAAAGCAGCTGTTTGTGTCTCGACATGCACCAGAGCCAGGACTGTAGCTCCTGAGGCGTCTGCGCGGACGAACGCGAGTGCTACAACAGAGAAACCTGTGTTCATCAACTCTAGCGTTTGTAAGAATAGAGTGGATGTAAAAAGGAAAAAAGTTTTAGTTTTAGTCTGCTGAAGGTCTGACCAACCGTCTGCCTGTCTGTGTGAGCACGAGCCGGAAAGAGGTGACCACTGTTAACCTGATGCTTCTCATGTGCACAGTATCATATGCTGGAGATGTACACAACCACATGTGCTGGGAATAAATAATTTCATAACTTACTCCTGTGTTCTGCATATTTATTCAAGAAGAAAATGATGAGGGGCATACTCTTTAAGCTGAATTTTATCTGTCAGGATGACTGTTTTCTTTTCTCATAGTATCTAAGATTACAGTTTTATGTAATTACGTTTCACCCACTGAATGAACATTAGGAAAAAAAATAACAAATATATGTGCCCAGTTTGTCACTGTGGAACTGAAGGACTCTTGTCAAATAAATTTAAGGTATAGCTTAAGAACCCTTCAAGCACGTAATTATATTTATTAGATAATCTGGAATTGAATGGAGGTGCATAGGTTTCAATACATGAATTAGAATGACATGAGATGTTTTTCTTACAGTATCAATTAGATTTTTTCAACATTGCAACCATGAACTTCATTGTCCTTTGTATGATGGTAAATGGTGCAACTATGAAGTATAAATGGAAGGAATTTGATGCACTGTATTGAACAATTTCTACAAGAAAAAAAAAAAGTGGAGTGAATTTGAGTTCAGACCCCAAAAGCTTTCTAGAAGCTTTTTGCCTAATCTAAAGCTACAAGTTTTGTCTAACCCAGTTTTCCAAATCCACAGTAATATTTTAATTAATCCTTGTTTGTATAATATCTTATGCTTGGTGAGATTAGTTGGAGAATGCCAGTTAAGATACATTTTCAGTCCTTTCCAAAAATTCTCAATGGAATTTTAAATAGGACTTTGACTAGACTCTTATAACATGTATTAGCTTCAATCAGAACCATTACATTGTAGCTTTGGCTGTAATTTTAGGGTCACCATCCTGTTGCTTAGCTATAAGATTTGTTTTTAAGAAGCCAGAATATTCCCAGATAGCACATGATGTTAAATCAACGTTGAAAAATAGTTAGAATCGTTGATTTTTGGTTGAAGT